CAACAGGTGACTTAAATACAAAGAGACAGACCCTTAAAAAAATGTAAGGAAGGGGCTGGAGAGATGGCTCAGTGGTTTAATAGCATTGCCTGCTCTTCCAAAGGTCCTGAGTTCAATTCCCAGCAACCACATGGTGGCTCACAACCATCTGTAATGAGGTCTGGTGCCCTCTTCTGTCCTGCAGACATACACACAGAATATTGTATACATAATAAATAAATAAATAAAAAAAATGTAAGGAAAAGAATGTCATGAAAAGATAATTGCTGAAAGTATGTGGTACAATTCTGGAGACTAAGCTTGTCCATCTCCAAGAAGCGCTGCAGTGCACATTTTTGTGATGCTAGGAATCAAATGCAAGGTCCTTCGTGTTAGGCAAGCACTGCCACTGAGTTACACCCCAGGCTTCTCACCCGTAGTCAAGAGTTGAAGATGAGGTAGACATGTCAGGGTACATAACCTAGGTGAGAACTGAGAAGATTCCAGATTTTCGAGATTAGAGTTTTGCAAACAGTATAAAACAGGATGAGGAAAATGCCTGTTTCTTCATCTGAAATGCCACTTACCTAACTCGTGTAAGAATTACAGCATTTAGAACTGAAACTGACAATAAGTTAACAAGCAAGGATTCAGTGGGTAGCCCCTGTGGAGATGAACATGAGTTTATACTTGCATATACAGAAGTTCTAGTGTGACAGATGATGCACCACCAGCTGGGCTGGGATCTAGGACCAGTCCTCCACTACTCTTCATTGTTTACAGTCACAAACTCCAAGTAGAGGTGTATGACTATTTATATGGGAAGTCTGAGACCAGCTCACAATGGAAGTGTCTCACCTCCATCTCGCCAGGGCATGTGTGGGCTGTGTCCAGGTAGACTCACCATGTATGGCTCCAGGTGTGCCTCTATACATTCTACCTAGCACTGGGTCAGAGATTGCAATGCTGCTTGGTTGAGCTGTAAGTTCTTTGTTTTTTGTTTTGTTTTTCAAGACAGGGTTTCCTGTGTATCTGGTTGTCCTGGAACTCGCTTTGTAGACCAGACTGGCCTCAAACTTAAAGAGATCCACCTGTCTCTGCCTCCTGAGTGCTGGGATTGAAGGCGTGCGCCACCACTGCCTGGCAATCCATTCATAAGTGTAGAGAAAGTCTAACAACAGCTGTCCATTGCTGGAAGACGGAAAAGAATGAAGCAGAGTAGGCAGGAAAAAAATTCTAGGCAGAGCAGCCAATTTGTAAGACCCAAGGCAGGAAGCTGAAGACTGTTGTGGCCAAGCCACACATTGCAGGGAGCAGACACCTATGCCATAGTAAATTGGATCTCGTTTAAATAGTGGAAAACACCCTGGAAAGACCATGGCGTATATAGCCTGGTGAGCTGGAAGCACCATTCTAAGTGACAAGCTAGGGATAGTAGGGAAGTGCTGAGGGTGAGGCTCAGGGAAACAAAATTTGTACAATCTGAGGACCCAAGATCAAAACAAGCAGAGCCCAAGCCCACCACTAACCTTGAAAAGAGCCCATCCTGCCTTTCCCTTCTAGTCCTATCCACTTATTAGCTGTCTTTAGCAAAATTCCAAAGAGCTGCCTAAACCTGCAAGCCTAACAACCTCAGCCTCTGTATTCTCAGCAGCACTGAAAGAAAAGAATACTCTGCCTAAAAACACTCCTTCCCGAGTCACCAGCCTCTTCCCACCTCTGTACAACACTCCCCTCTTCCTGCACCACTGGCCTCTTCCCCACCTATGCTACAACACTCTCCTCTTCCCGCTTCTTTAAATACTAGATTTACTCATCATATTTTATGTGTGTTTTGCTTGCATGCAGTATGTGTACCACATCTGTGTGTGCTTGGTGCCCTGGAAGTCAGAAGAGGGCACTGGAGTTAGGGATGGCTGTGAACTACCACTCGGGTGCCTGGAATCAGATGGGGTCCTCTGCAGGAGAAACAGCAAACAGCACTCTAAGGGCGGGGGAAGCCCTGTGCCCAGCGCTCTGCACTCCCCCGCAGTCCCAGCCAGTAGTTAAGGTTCACCATAAATACCAGGGTGTGAAAGGTAGCACATGAAAGGTGGGCTAGAATTGAACTTTGAAAATTTTTTATTTTATATTATGTAACAAAAAATTATACAAGCACTTAGAATTCTCCACTTAATTTTCAATGCATAATTAAAATAATCTTTATGTCACACAAAATTTCCTAAAGCTGCTGGGAGGTGGTGACGCACTCCTTTAATCCAGCACTTACTTGGGAGCAGAGGCAGGTGAACACCGAAAGTGAGTTCCAGGACGCAGGACAGTCAGGGCTACCCAGAGAAACTCTGTCTTGGGGGAAGTGGTGGAAAAAAAATCCCTAAGTCCATTAAGTACCTTACAGTATCCGCTAATTATTTTGTCTCAAAATTTTAGCTGGTCTCTACAGAACACACGATCCTCATTCCCCTACTGGCTATAATGCAAACTCTCCCAAAAGTGCTATCATGGACTTAAGATTACTTTCCAGCTGTTCTTGGATCAGAAGGATATTAGATAGTTCTAGAATCAAGATGTTCCCATGGCTCCTGGTTCAGAATCTTCCAGATAGAATGAAGTTCAGATCTGCTGGGTGGCCAAGCTAGAATGGAAGCTGGAGAGGCCAACACAGTGTGGTGGAACAGAAGCAATCATGTAAGAATAAAAACAGTGAAAACCTGGAAGAAAAGAAGAGACTGACAGCAGTGAGCCCTCCTTCCACTTCCACAGGTCTGTGTAACCCAGCTAAAATTTCTAATAGAAAATTTTGAGAAGAACTTTAGTCCAGCTTGCTTCCCCATTTCTGTATTTCTGTCCAGCTTCTGTATTGGAAGTATCCACACTAGAATTTCTACAAACAGAAACAAATAAAATCAAGTAAGGACAATTAAGAGACATCAGGACACAAGGCAACATAGTAGCTAAGTATTCTACAAACACACACACACTAAAATTTTTTTATTAACAATTTTTTTTTTAGAAAACCTAAGTCAAACTTAACAAGATGAACTTAAGACACTAGTAAATATAGCTGAAGAACTTAACTTTTATTCTTCCAATTTATCTAGGAAGTCAATGCTTAGTAATTTATTTCATGATTTATTTTTTAAACGTGCAAAACTACATACTCTTACCCCATTACTCTAAATTTTGTCATTCTTCCTTCAAGTCTGAAGTAAAAGAGTAATTTACGAAGTTCCAGAGATACCAATCTCACAGATTTAACATTTATTCTTAAGTCTATACTCATGAAAATTAAGAATAGTCAGTACTAAACTGAACTAAAACCTGACTAGGTTCTTGACTCAGAATACTTGCTGCACATCTGTCGGCTCACACTAAAACACAAAATTAGACTGGGGTGTATGCATCTCATAAAAAATTCTTGGGACAGATTAAAGATTAACATTAAAATTTCAACTTCATTGATTAACCAAATTAAACTTTTAAAATGCTTATTAACTGTGAATTAACTGCAAATAATTTTCTTTCAGGTTTCTAAGCACTTCAAAACAGCTAATAAGGCAATATAACCTTTAAAATGTCAAAGTAGACTATACACATTGCACTTTTCTAACAGGCTGGGCTATTATCTTCTGTGATGATATAAATAGTACTGAATAAAATACGTGCTAAAAATCAGTTAAGTTCTTGATTAATCTCCCTCAAATTATAATTTTCAAAACACCCCAGGTTTTCCTAAGATTTAATGTCTTAAAAAACTTTTAAAATTTGCTGGGCGGTAGTGGTACATGCCTTTAATCCCATAAAACACTAATTTTTTTTTAAAAGAAAAGAGGATGGTGGCAGATGTTGAAGCAGATAGGCAGATGTGTGATTTGAAGCCAGCCTGGTCTATGTAGCAAGTTCCAGGCCAGCCAAGGCTATACAGTAAAATGCTATTTCAAGAATTAATAATAAAAAATAAAAAGGGAATGGATTCAGTACCACACAAACAGATTAGCTAATTCGGGATATGAGATCATGGGCCAGTTCCACGCCAGGCTGTTAGGCCTGCCTGGCAATGCGAATGAAAAGGGAAACCACTACTTCCATTTGTGCTCTATTTTTCAGTCTCAGGTAACACAGGCTCGTTCTGCGGTGGCATCTTACTCACTGTCACCAGTTTTCCTTGTTGGCAGCACCCCGGATGCTCTGCCCCTCATACTTAAGGAAGCCTTTCCTGGGTGGCTTCGCTTTAACCTCCAGTGGAGTAGCTAGGTTTGAGTTGTGCTTTAACATCTAAAAAGCAATGACACATCCAGAAGTTATAAACATTCAAGAAAAGCCATGAACAATTAGATAACGGTTACTTAAAATACTTTAAAAATCAGCAGTCTATACAGACATTGAACAGCAAAGACAATAAAAATGTTGCATGGAAGTTTGATGTCTGAAATCTAAAGTTATGGAAACATCCCGAGAGCCGCGCTGTCTCGCCGGTGGCGTGGGTGACAGGAGGGCGAACAGAGCAGCGCGCTGAAGAGAAGATGCACGATGGCTGTGACCGTGTGCGCAGCGCCCACACAAATCTGAGCAAATGCGCACCCATCATGGAGAGGGAGAGTCTTGCAGGCCCTACCTTTCCCCCGAGAATCTAGACACAGTTAACGAGGAGGCTGAGCGTCTTCAGTGGCTTAGCCTCTCCTAAACACACACTTGTGCTCCGGAAACAGCCCTAATGAAACCCATTTGAGGACACACTCACCCTCCTGTCTTCACATAAAAGTAGAGGGGTTCAGTTGGGAAGGGAAAGGACCTGCAAGAGTGGGACATGAGAAGGTACTGGGTGTCTGTGCGACTGTGAAGGCCAACATGATAAATTGTGTACATGGATGAAAATGTTATCACGTAAGCCAGGAAGTGGTGGCACATCCCAGCACTTGGGAGGCAGAGGCAGGAGGATCTCTGTGAGTTCGAGGCCAGCCTGGTCTACAGCGTTGAGTTCCAGGACAGCCAGGACTATACAGAGAAACCCTGCTTCGAAACCAAAATGAAAAAAAAAATCACGAAATCCATCATTTTATATAATTAACATAGGCTATTTAAAACGTGAAAAAGAAAAACTAGAAGCAGCATACAAAAACTAGGTCAGGTGTCCTTGGGACAGGGCACGCAATAAAAGGTAGAATAAGAAAAGCAAACAAGGAAACAAAGACAAGGTTCCCCACAACAGGAAATTGTAACCTTCTACACATACCCCACAAAGACAGCCGTTCTGTTCATTTTACCTCCTAAGAAAGCAAGCTGTCAGGAGGGACTGCAGACAGCTTAGCAGGTACGAGCAAGAACTGCTCTTAGAGAGGATTAGAGTTCGGTTCCCAGCCCCACTTTGGGCAGCTCACAATTGCTTGTAACTTTAGATCTGACGCGCTCTTCTCTCTACTCAGGCACCTGTACATATCCCACAGAGACACACATACATCACACACATAATTTAAAACAAAATAAATATTTAAAAAAGACAGAACTGTAACAGATCCTTTGTTGATCTTTCCGGGTGGGTCAGTTCTACTGGCATTTAGGCATTTTCTCACAGTTCACTGTCCTCATGGCTCCCCATGAGGTGGGAAAACTCTAGAATAGTCACTGAGGGATTTATTGCACCTAAGTACTGACTGCCCAACACCATAATAACCTGGATTAGAGCCAGACCAGCCCACAGCATCTACTAGTTGGTGATGTCCTACTACAGAGTCACCTATTTTAACATCATGTGAGTCAGTTTGAGAAATACAGACACATGTTATTAACGACACCCTGCTGTGGTAAGTATACAGAAAACAACATTTTCACTTCCTGCAGAACAATAAATAATCAATATGGCAACCACAGATAAAAACTAACAGAAACAACACACTGTAGAACATAAACTTAAAAAGAAAACACCTCCTGAGAGTAATATCACTAAAACCAAGTTAGGAACTGGTACTTGGTTCAGGAAAACCTTAAGGATTTTCTCAATATCCAAAGTTACACATTGGCTTGATGGTAAATATGACAGTTTATATGCAATTTCGGTTCTCTAATACAAATATAAAATTGTGAAAATATTATGGCGCCCACACGTGGATAACTGAATCCACAGAAAGCTTGAGAAAGCTTGGGAAAGAATAGAGTAAAGCATGTTTTCTTGGTAGCAGCAATTTCTCGGGTCTACTCTGCTTGCTAGAGGCAAGCAAATGCTCTCGTATAAGAGAGACTTCCTGACTCAGCTTTAGCTGCAAAACCCTGCAGCTCATTAAGAGGTCCTGCCACGAAACACTTATGGTGTTGATCAAAAGCTGAATGCATGCTTTTCGGTTTTCAGCCATAGCAGGAAAAAAGCTGCGCTGTTTTAAAATGCCGGCTTTCTGGACTGTCCTGCCAGGGCAATCTCTGACTCTTTCAGGCAGGCAGTCCGACTGAGTGTGGTCTGTGAGCAGAATGCTCCAGCTTGCTTGCTGGCACGAACCTTGGAATGCCATAGAGTTGTGGCAGTAAAAGGCTCCAGTGGTACCTCTACCACGAGTCTGGAAAGCTAAGGAATGGACTGGATCTAGCCGTCAAAGTCACGGTTTTAGACTCATGTGGTCAGAAAAAGAGAGATATACAGTAAAAAGAGATTCAAAGAGGAAGAAAACCTCTAAATGGTTTACTATGAGTTAAAAATATATGCAGGTTAAAAGGTTAAAGTCATTAAAAATAAAAAAGAAAGAGAGATATAGGGTGTGGTGGTACACACCTTTAATCCCAATGCCTGGGAGGCAGAGGCATATTGACCTCTGTGACTTCAAGAGACAGAGCTAGAGATTGACCTCTGTGACCTCAAGGTGTGGTAGTACACACCTTTAATCCCAATGCCTGGGAGGCAGAGACAGATCTCTGTGAGTTCAAGGTGTGGTAGCACACACCTTTAATCCCAGTGCTGGGGAGGCTGAGACAATGGGATCTCTTGAGTTCAAGGACAGCCTGGTCTACAGAGTTATTCCAGGACAAAGATATACAGAGAACCAGTCTCAAAAAGTAAAAGTAAAAGAAATAGAGGTTAAAATAAAGCCATCATAAAGATGGAAAATACACAGAGAATCTTGATACTGTATGCTATTATGCTCTCTTTGAATTGTTTGAATGCTGAGGAAGGAGCAATAGCTGCTAAAAGATATTTGTTTATAAATGCTGCTGAACTAATCCAAGATAGATATGTTCAAAATACCTTGACTTCTGAATTTGGATCTAAGGATATGATACTTTGGAAAGGAGGTTCTTCTTTTGTTTTCACAGAGGATGAGACCCTGTGGATTGCTTCTCTCCCAATATGGTATGATAGACCACGTCCTCCTGAAAGGTTACTGTGAACATCCTCAAGAAATTACTTCACTCAACTGCCAACTGAGATGAACCTGGCAGACAGGTTTTACCATGAAAGACCTGATTAACAGCACCCCTATTCAGCAGGAAGAAGTTTGGAGAGAAATAACTATGTCCATATTCCCAGATATTGTTTATAAATGTTCTTTTACATTTAAAGGGGGATATAATATAGATATGAATAATTTCATTGGTATGGATTTTAAGGTCAATTTTGTTATATGTATATATATTTCTGATCTTGATTGATGGATTGTGATTGTATAGTTCATTTAAAAATGCAATGTATAATTAAAAATATAGGTTGTTAATGGGTAATCATCGATAATAGTCAAGCTTGTAGTAATGTTAGTTTGATTTTCTAGATGTGCATAGATATATTTCAGAGAGACATTCTTCATATCTTTCAAAGACTACAGAACATAGCATTTAATGTTTTAATAACTTAGGACAATGAGACAAGTCTGCTCCTGGCAGCACCAATCTACTTCAAGAGGAAGTTGGGCATCGAAGAGGCTCCTTATGGAGTTGGTTAGCCATTTGGGCAAGAAACTGCTCTTGCCTGGACTGTTGTATAAACTGGACACAGAGAACCCACAGAGAGAGGACTGCTAAACTTGCCTAAAGGTGAGATGATCTTTCGAGGTTCTTGATTCATGAAAGAGTCTGCGAGACATTCTGCAGGACACAGCAGATAGTGACTGAACTGCCTTTGAAATTTCCTGCTTCATGGAAATGTCTCCGGATATTATGGGCCTAAAGGCCGAAAATGGATGCCCCAACGATACAGAGGAACTTTGGGTGACTGTCCAGGCAGCGAGATGTCTCTGTCATTTCTAGAGTTTTGGAAGTTGCTTACTTCTTGTTTACTTAGGTAATATATCCTTCTGGAGTCTTTGATGGAGTTAAAGAATGGATAGTCGTAATTATAGTTTTCCATTATTATGATAAAGATATAGTTATAAATATTGTGACTGTAATTCTTGCTTGATAACTGTTTTGTTATGTGTAATTTTACTATGTTAAAATGAAAGTCTTTCTTTTTTGTTTAAACAGAAAAAGGGGAAATGATGGAAGAGGGTTATCTGTCTATTGTGTTATTTTCATTGGTCAATAAAGAGACTGCCTTGGCCCTTTGATAGGACAGAAAATTAGGTAGGCGGAGTAAACAGAACAGAATGCTGGAAAGAGGGCTATGAGGCAGAAGCCATGGAGCCAGCCACCAGGTCAGACATGCTGAATCTTTTCTGGTAAGCCACTACCTCGTGGTAGCACCACGAGATTATTAGAAATGGGTTAATCAAGATGTGAGAGTTAGCCAGTAACTAACTCTCTAGAGATAATGGGCCAGGCAGTATTTAAATGAATACAACTTATGTGTTATTATTTCTGGGGCTAAGCTAGCCGTGCGGGAGCTGGGCAGGATGATAAGCAGGCCTGCCCGCAGCCCCTCACTACAATATTAGAAAACAATAGCCCGGGAACCAACCTGGAGAATGTCCTCTGGAATTGTAGTGACTTCCGGAGGAGTAGGTGTTCTGATAGTTTCACAAGAAGTAATTGTAGGAGAAGGGGGGTCTTCAAAATTCTCATAGCATTCATCTGAATTTAAAATTAATGGAGCACAATCTTCAACTTCTAGATCACTTGATGAACTATTTAGTTTTGATAATGGATAATTTTTATATACCTACAGGAGAAAAATAAATCACTGAATTATGATAAGTAAATAATAATGTTGTAAATAAATCTTTATTCAATTAACTCTACTGGAGTCTATTAAAGCAGGCCCACAAATGATCCCACTTTCCTGACCAAATTCTACCAAAATCAAGAAAATTGTATATAAAGACAAAGTACTATCTTCACTATTAATGCAAACTTTTGGGGAGAACTCAACAGAATGGTGGCTGAACCCTAGATCTGGGCAGATTCCCCACCCCATCTTGGGCAGCACAAAACTGACCAGTTGAGAGCTCAAGTGGAAGAGGTGGGTAGCAGCTCCTGAGTCCTAAGGAGGAAGATTAGAGTTCTAACTTCATGAAATGTTACCAAAGCTGTGAGTGCAGAATTCAGTGCTAAGGGTGGAACAAAGAACAAAGGAGGAGGCTACTCTGGGCTAGACATGAAAGCCCAGCTCAGAACAGAATGTCTATATACGCTGCCTGCATACACACAGGATGGTTCCCACATCTAAGAGAGACTTAACATAGACTCAAGTCATGCCAAGTCTCAAGTTAATAAAGACAGAGTGGTTGCCGGGCGGTGGTGGCACACGCCTTTAATCCCAGCACTTGGGAGGCAGAGGCAGGCAGATCTCTGTGAGTTCGAGGCCAGCCTGGGCTACAAGAGCTGGTTCCAGGACTGGCTCCAAAGCTACAGAGAAACCTTGTTTTGAAAACAAATATATATATATATATATATACACACACACACATACAGAATGGTTAGCAATATCACAGCAACAGGGTGCCTTCCACAGGGATAGAAACACAACAAGTGGGTGTGATGGTGCAGGCAAGAGGTTGTAGTCAATTCTCAGCGATGAAGCAAGGTCAAGGCCCTTCCACATGAAGCCCATTCTCTTAAACAAAATGAAAATACACACACAACAAAAGATGTAAATGAGCTGAAAAATGGCAAGTGCCTGCAGGCAGCCGCCACGTGAAAAGAAACTGTCAGCTGCAGCACTGTCCAGTATCACTAGCTGCATCTCAAGGGCACCAAGCTACATTTTAGTGCTTAAAGATACTCTGATTGCAGGCCACCATACTGAACGCTAAAAATGACAGAGCATTCCCACTATCAGCAGAGTACTGGCTGTCTCAACTGACTAATGAGGAAGGTTTTGATTATGTTAGATAAGGTAACAAGGAAAACTGAATTGGGGAGACATTAAATTACTTAAAAATCTCTTACTCAGGGAGAACTACTTCGATCTGTTTCTACTAATTCTTTTTTCTTTTTTGAGGGGGAGGAGGGACTTCAAGATAGGGTTTCTCTGTAGCTTTGGAACCTGTCCTGGAACTCACTCTGTAGACCACATGCTCCGCCTGCCTCTGCCTCCCAAGTGCTAGGATTAAAAGCGTATAACCATTTATCTTCAACAACAACAACAAATTTCTTGAAAATATCCTTTTCGCTTGGTCTTACCTAATTTTTAGGTCATGACTGAAGCTGATATCAGCTCAGATCTGCTCACTGCATTCACTCTGCTGCTTGCTCACTAGCCTTTTACATTTCTGTAGGCATCCTTCTCTCTTGGATTTTCAAGACAGGGTTTCTCTGTAGCTTTGGTGCCTATCCTGGAACTAGCTCATGTAGACCAGGCTGGCCTCAAACTCACAGAGATCCACCTGCCTCTGCTTCCTACTGCTGGGAAAGCTGTGCACACCACCACCCGGCTTCTATACTGCCATGAACAGATTCTGACACGATATGCACATTCCTAAGAGCTGCACTAGTCCAATCTGTTAGACATATGAAGTCCAGAAGTCATGACTGAGTCCTAAGGAGGAAGATGAGAGCTTTTAACTTTAGTGGAACTTTACCGAAGCTCTATTGCCCACTGTAGAAGGAATTTTCAAACCAGGAGTACAGAATTTAGGTGGCAACGGTGAATCTGTATATTCAGCATCTAGAAGACATAAAATAGAAATGAAAATTAAGTTGAAATTTGGGGCAGGGAGCAGAAACCGGAAGCTGCAGAAGTTGCCACACGCAGTAAAGCAGTCAGTTCTGCTGTGGCGGGGAGTCTACAAAAATCCGCTTAGGTAAAAGCAAGCCAAGCGGGCAGGGTTGGGACTGTCTGGGTCGAGGACTGGCTAGGCCGTCCACCTGGTAGGTGTGGAGTCCAAATTCACGTGGGTGGCAAATGAAGGACGCTTAAAAGAAATCCCACACTAGCTCAGAACCGAGAACTAGACGGTTATTTATTTAGGGGTAGACTCACAAGTCAGAATCCTCTGGTCAGAAACTGAATCCCGCAGTGTGGGCACATGCTCTACATCGGCTTATACAGCCTAAGAGGCCACGCCCCAGTGTTCAGGCAACCACTGGCCATAGGACTTCCTACAGCATGTGTGTAGGTGTGCGCATGAGTATAGGAGCCGAAGCAGTCAAATATTTCCCCGGAGCTGGAGGAGGTGGCTGGGTGCCTGATGGGAGTGCTAGGAATCGAATCCAGGTCCTCTAGAAGAGCAGTATATGTTCCTACCACTGAGTCATCCCTGGGGTCCCAGTATTCCATTTTTTAAGTTAAAATTATTGTCTCGAAAAATTAAAAAAAAATCTGATTATGGTGTGTGGTTTGGTTGTATAAGAAAACCAAAACTGTCCAATTCGCATACATACCTATCATGAATAAAAGTTGTGTGGTGTAAGAGCAGTACCAAGTCATGAATTCTGCTGTGATCAGTAACACATGATAGTGACAAGCTACTGGGGATCTAACCCAGTTGTCAGAATGCTTGCTAAGGCCTGGGTTCAGTCCCTACTATCAAAATAATTTTTAAAAAATCAAATTAGCTATAAAGATAACTCTAAAGAACTCTATTTAAAACCATGTAAATAGGCCATTGAAAACGCTCAGCAGGTAAAATCACTTGCCACATAAACCTTATGACTGCTGTTCAATGCCCATGACACAGTGACTCTCAAAAGTTTTCCTTTGACGTCTGTACACACTATGGCAAGCACATACCCATACTCAAATGGGGGGGCGCCCCCCCATACAAACATAGAAGAAACAAGTAAACTGTAACGTGTTGGGTACAGCACACTTCACCTGGTGGGGAGCCTCCCTCACCTGCACAGAGCCTGGAGTTCAGTCCCCAGCACCACAGAAAACGAGGTGGTGGAGGATCAGAAAGGGTGAAGCGAGGGCTGAAGCGGCGGCTCAGAGGTTGAGAGCACTTGCTGCTCTTGTAGAGGGCCTAGGTTGGTTCTGAGCACTCACATAGCAGCTCACAACCACCTGCACCATGAGCTCCACGGCCAGTGCCGCCTTCTGCCCTTTGTGGACACTACACACACGGTGCACAGACATTCATGCGGGCAAAACACTCATATACATAAAATGAAAATAAATAAATTTTGTTGGGGAGTGTTACTTTAAGGTGTCTGACCTTTGGTTATGCTGCATTTGTTTAACTCTGTGAAGCTGTGATTCTTTGACTGTCTAAAATACCTGATAAAGAGCTGAATAGCGAAGCAGGAGCAAGGATAGGTGGGGCATCCGAAGGATGCTCAATCATGCCACAAGGACATGTGCTCAACTATGTTCATAGCAGCTTTGTTTGTCATGGCCAGAACCTGGCAACAACCTATTTGCCCCTTAACCAAAGAACAGATAAGGAAAATGTGGTACATTTACACAATGGAGTACTACACAGCAGAGAAAAAAATGACAGCTTGAGTTTTGCAGGAAAATGGATGGAGCAAGAAAACACTATTTTGAGTGAGGTCACCCAGACACAGAAAGACAATTAAATTATCACATGTACTCACTCATAGGTGGTTTTTAAACATAAAGCAAAGAAGGCCAGTCTACAAACCACAATCCCAGAGAACTAGACAACAATGCAGACACTAAGAGAGACTTACACAGATCTAATCTACATGGGAAGTAGAAAGTAGAAAAAGACAAGATCTCTTGAGTAAATTGGGAGCATGGGGACCTTGGGGGAGGGCTAAAGGGGACAGGCAGGGAGGGGAGCAGAGAAAAATGTAGAGCTCAATAAATATAAATTTAAAAAAAAAGAAAAAAGAACCACCCAAACAAACAAAAAAGACACAGTAAACTACCTAAGGTTAGTAATCTAAAAATAGAGAATCGTTGTGTCCACAGTTAACCAGGAAAAAGTACAAATGAGAAGTTAATTTTTAAACTCACCAGTCTTTCCCAGCTGCTGGCTTACAGAACGAGGAATGGCAAAAGAACTCTCAGTGGTCACAGACCCTGTCCCCATGGCCTCTCCACTGGCAGTGCTCAAAGGGGAACTGTAAAGTCACAAGAGTTAAACTTCATCTTACTATATTTCAGTTTGGGGTCGTTCATTTTTGGTTTACGAAATAAAGACCAATAAAAGAAATTAAAATAATTTAGAAATGCATTTGATATACACACCTTTAAATATTTAAAGTAGTATACATATTTATTTTAAATAATCAAATATATAAAACAAGGTGTGGAGGCACATACACACAATTCTAGCACTTGAAAGACAATAGGTGATTCCCTGCTTGATCACCCTGAATTAGAAATCTGTGGATATTACCCAGTACACACAGTAAGTTAGCATTAATAAGCTAGTGTGGCAGGATTTGCTTTTTTTTTAATTAGTCTATCTGGTAGAAAGCAAAATTATTGAAGCCCATTGACAAGTTGGGTGGAAGGAGGTTAGAGAGATGGTTCAGTGGTTAAGAGCACTGGCTGCTGTTCCAAAGGACTAGGATTCAATTCCTTACGCGAATCCTAGGTGCTCTGACACCCTCTTTCACCAGGCATGAACAAGGTGCATGCAGACACACATTCAGATTAAAGACCCAAACACACAAAAAACTTAAACTAGAAACACACAAACAAAATAAAACTGTCATTATTTTAGAGTAAAAAGACGAAATCTGTCATTTTATTAAGACTGACATGCTCTAGCTGGGCAGTGTGGTGCACAGCTTTAACCCCAGCACTCTGGAGGCAGAGACAGGCGGATCTCTGCGAGTTTGAGGCCAGCCAGGGCTACTCAGAGCAACACTATGTGTGTGATGTGTATGGGGGATTGACTTGACCAATTACACAAATACACAGGAAAGAATACTGCATGCTGCGCAGATCCTATCACTCCTTAGAAAATTAATAGCATACACTTCATTGATGAAATTACTGATTTGAGATTTAAAATATGAAACAGCTGAAATCTTTCTAAAAGTGGGCTGGAGAGATGGCTCAGTGTTTCCCGCCCTTCCAGAAGACCCCAGTTCAGTTCCTAGGCACAGACATCAGGGATCAGGAACAGCTCATGTTACCCTAGTTACAAAGGCTAAGATTAAAAAAAAGAAAAGTGATGGCATACATACACCTTTAATCTCAGCACTCAGAAGGCAGGGGCAGGGGAGTCTTTGTCAATGTCAGGCCTTCCAAGAATACACAGAGGCGCCCTGACTCAAAGGAACAAAATCAACAACAAAAACTCAACCAAACTCAAAACCCCAAGTTTTGCTGGCATGGAAGTCAGGAAAGCGGGGCACATTCTTTTACTACTGTGGGAGTTTAAACCACTGTTGGGCATGTACCCATAGGAATCTATATCCTACTATAGAAATACATGCTCAATTACATCCACTGTTGCTTTATTCATGGCAGCCAGGAAAGGGGAGAAGCTTGCATGTTCATCAACTGACAATGCGGCACATTTACACAATGGAACATTAACATTATTCAGCTGATAAGAAAAATGAAATCATGACATTGTAGGTAAATGGATAGAGCGGTAAACAATCATATCTTCTCTTGAATGTAGAATGGATACAGTACTGGTGTGTGTATGTGTGTGTGTGATATGGGACTCTCCTCTGTATGCTGTGAATATGATTGGTGAATTAATAAAGAAACTGTCTTGGCCCGATAGCGTAGGGTAGAGAAAGCGAGGTAGAGAAAGCTAAACTGAATGCTGGGAGAAAGAAAGGCAGAGTCAGAGAGAAACCATGGAGCTACTGCCAGAGACAGACATGCTGAAACTTTGCCGGTATGCCAGAGCCTTGTGGCGATACACAGATTAATGGAAATGGGTTAAATTAAGAGTTGGGCAGCAATACACCAAGCAAATTAATTAATTAACTGATTTAGTGAATACAGTTTCTGTGGGATTATTTCGGGAGTCTGGGCGACTGGGAAACAAGTAAGCAGCCTCCTACAACGTGTGTGTGTGTTTGTGGTGTACAGAGATGGTGGCTGTATAACGAAGTATGAAGGATTAAGTGGGGTGGGGGATGAGGGCAGGATAGAGGGACAACTAATACTAAAAACCTTTGAAAAAGGCATGAAGACCCACTACTGTAAAAGTTTCTTAAAACACATGAAGAGTTTAAATGGAGTTACCCTATAACCAGAAACAATAGTGCCATCCCCAAGATATCACAGATTAAAAAGCCCAGTGACGGGCTAGAGAGAAGGCTCAGAGGTTAAGAGCACTGACTGCTCTTCCAGAAGTCCTGAGTTCAATTCCCAGCAACTATATAGTGGCTCAAACCTATCTATAATGAGATCTGGTGCCCTCTTCTGGCGTGCAAGCAGAATACTGTAAACATAATAAATAAAATTTGAAAAAAAAAAAAAAGGCCAAGTGCCTGGAATGGGTTATCTTTCAGGGTTATTTGTTGGTGAGGTGGTTATTTGTTGGTGAGGTCCCATAGACTCCCACACATTACAGATGACATATGTCCACTGGAATTTCAGAAATAAAACCACGCCTAACACCTAACACTACTATTGGGGACAAGAACCCATGGCTAGATGGGTCTTAGGAAAGAAACTACTATTAATTCTGATACATGGACATAGTATTAAACTGAAGCTTAATGACATGGTTACCCCACTTATTAGTGTGCCCACCTACCCAACCCTTTCTTAAGACAAGCTCTATGTAGCCCTGCTTGTCCAAGAGTTTACTATGTTAGACCAGTGATGTGGGATTCCCCTCTGTATGCTGTGAATACCATTGGTTAATAAAGAAGCTGCTTTGGGGCTATTGCAGTGCAGAATAGGGCAAGGCAGGAATTCCAAGCAGATGGAGGAGGAGAAAGATGGTGGAGTCAGAGAGAAGCCAAGTAGCTGCCGTGGAAGACCAACACTGGACACTTATTGGTAGGCCACAATCATGTGGCGATACACAGATTAATAGAAATGGATTAATTTAAGATATAAGAGCTAGCCAATAAGAAGCACGAGCTAATAGGCTAAGGAGTGTTGTATTAATACAATTCTGTGTGATTAATTCCGGTCTGGGCGGCCCTCCGACTACAGACTAGGCTGACCTTAAACTCAGAGATATGCCTCCTGAGTGCTGGGATTAAAGGCATGCACCACCACGGTCAGCCTGATTACTGTATCTCTCTGAGTCTTTATAAAGGCAGCTTCATTTTTTGTTATTTTTGTTTTGTTCGAGACAGGCTCTCTCTACACAGCCCCAGCTGTTCTGGAAATCTCACTACAGAGACCAGGATTGCCTTGAACTCTTGACAGAACAGCCTACCTCTGCCTCCTGAGTGCTGGGAGTAAAGGTGTGCGCCAACACATCTGCTCAGCTGGGAGAAGCTTCTTTTTGCAGCTGACCATTACACAGAGATTTACTACAGTCAACATGGGGAGGGTAAAAGACAACAGAGTGCTCAGCCCTAACTGGGATATGAGCACCCTGAGTCTTGGGATCGTCTTGGGAGAAGAGGTGGAGATTAAGAGCTAGAGGCAGTAGATGACGACATTAAAATGTGTTTTCCTGACACAATAGGCAGTTATTTGCACATATGAACTCACAACCATTTTGACAGAATACTTAAGGTTAAATTATACAAAATGCCAACATGGAGGATGAAGGAAGTCACAAAGTCTCATCCTTAGCGGAGGAGCTGCAGACAACTGTCATCTGCTGTTTTCTTTAAGGTAGACTATGCTTCAGCAGTAAAAGGGCAACACAAGTCAGACTCCATGGGTTATTAAAACAAAAGAAAACAAAACAAAATCCCAAACAAACAAAAAGACACAAATTGGAGGAGCTTAGGTACTAAAATCAAAAACACTGTATAAAGTTTCCAAATAATTAACAAAAATATTCTCAAGGGGCTGGAGGCTCAGCAGTTACCATCACACATGACTCTAGGACCAGAGTTTGGTTCCCAGCATCTACATCAGACAGCTCACAGGTCGTGTACCTCCAGTTCCAAGGGGGATTCAATGCCTGTGCCTCTGAGGGCACCTGAACATGAGCTCACCAGCACATACTCACACATGTAATTAAAAATCACAAAAATAAATACTTAAAAACTTTCAAGTTGTTTACCTTTTAATATTCTTCATATTTTTAAGTCCCATTGTATAATCTTCATTTAAACACATAGTGTATTCGGATATACCAAAGTGTTCTAATTTAGGAGTTTTACACTCAAAATCATCCATCTTTAGAGCACACCTGGGAGTCTTTGGGACTGTGATGCAAGAGTCTTTGGCAGGAGGGGTTTCAGACAGGCACTCTTCTTCAAGGTTCTCAGTAGTCTGCGGAGGATTTGGTGTGACTCGGGAGACCATGTACCGCTCAAGTCCAAAATCTGAAAGCTGTGGGCTGTACAGTAGGGGCTTTTCAGCAACAGAACTGCTGGGAACACACGGCTCAGGCTTCTCGCCCTCCACTCCAGGTTTCTGAATGTCTTCACACACACCCAGCTCCGAGGTCGGGTCACTGACCGTGCACTCACATACTGGGAGGAAAAGCCAAAGACGTAATTTCTGGCCAAACACCAAGACAGAAAATCTCTTGATCATTAAAACAACACAGTGTAGCCCACCCCAAATATTCCACATCAGTCAACTGTCTGTTCTGCAAGTCTGGTATATATGTCTTATCTGCTTGTATTCCATCTAGACACTTGAGAGAAATGAAACTGCTTTGAAAAAACCAACACCCACTAAAAAATCCAATTTCTTATTCCTCAATATGATTTATTGATCAGACTTAAGTTTTCTGAAAGTATTATTAGTATGGAATTAGTGTATAAGCATCTTTATTGTATATTTAACACAAACTGTAACAATATGATTTTAGACTTTTGGTTTTGTAAAAATTTTCAATTACATTTTGTTTATTTTATGTGTGCCACAGGGTACATGTGGGTCCTGGAAATCAAATGCAGGTTGTCAGGTTAGGTGACAAGTGCCTTTACCCAGAGCTGTTTTGCTAGCCATAGACTTAACTTTTGAGTACCTAAGTACAAAAAAATAGGAGTATCTGAATCTATGATTATTTTAGGAGGAAAACAAACTATATAATATACATTTTCTAACTTCCAAAGTAAACTGGATTCTAGTACATGTTGATTAACATACCACACATATATACTTGCTGGATTTCATTAATGCTTTCTTCATATACAAAGATCATCTTCATAAAAGACCAAGCTATTGAAGCACATTAAAGCCAGCCAGAGAGATAATGGGCAGAATGGCAGCAGCAGCGTTAACACTGGGCAACAAACACCAGCTGGCCTCCAAAGGGCTGCAAAATGCTCAGCTCTAACTGGTCTTTATGAGACCTCATGAAGTAGATACATTAAATACCCCCACCTACCATTGAGGAGCAAGGTCAGTTATTAGACCCTGAGTAATGACAACTTTTCAGCTGGCGACCCTTCTCTCCCCAGTTCCTAGGTTACAGGCATGTGCTGCTTTGATGAGCCACTATGGTACAGTAACCAGTGCAAATAAAAAATTACTTTATTAATTTATATAGCTCATGCACCTTGTTCTCCTGAGCAGGAGTCTTAATATAAGAGAAACGAGAGAGTATCCAGTGGTTCTCCAGCTACTTATTGGTAGAGCTAACCAGGCTCACTTTTCCATTTTCAACAGCTCAAAGACACTTTCATCCAGCACCATGAAAAGAAGAGCAAGGGCAGTTTTATTTCTTGCAGCAAGTCTTACTACTATGTAGCCCAGGCTAGCCTGAAGCTTGCTAGTGTCCAAGAGGTCCTTCAAATTCAAGTACAAGGACTACTTCACAGTGTACCACTGACTAGCACAGAGTGCTGAAGGCTCACCGAACAACCCAACAGACAGAACTCAGGCCCCAGTCAAGCCTTTTGCTGTCTTACTCATTCTGCCTTCTGACCCAAGATGCTAAGAAATGAAAGTCAGTCAAACCTGAATCTTCCTTGTCACGTGTCTGATAGCCATACTTCTGGAAAAACTCTCTTAGTTTCATGATGTCTGTTGAATTTTTTTTCATCAGCACTTTTGTTGCCTTTATGAATCTTGTGCTATCTTGACTTTCCAATCTTGCTTCATTGAGATGAGTGGTAACATCATCCTTTTAGGGAGAAAGCAAATATAATACGTATGGTCTAATCTATTGTGTAATGGCTATCATTATGCTTAAAGTTAAGACTTACTATGCTCAAGAGACCAAAAAATAAAAAATAAAATAGCCTCTAGCATATAAGCCCCTAAACTGTACAGGCTATCCCCTAACTGCCCACTTCTCTCCTTCCCCAGACGTTGACGACTAATCTTAAAATTGACTGATCTTGTAAAATTTACTTTTGCTGCAAGAAGTCACAAGATTAACTGCCATTTCTGCTTTTGTAATCAAGCTTGCTTACTCTGCTCAAAAAGATGACCAGACTATCGCAAGACATACATGTTAAAATAGGCTCCTACCTACATGCACGCAGAATACTTGTAATCCTTGGCTTTTGCCTTGATAAACCCTGGGTTGATATGGCTAATCGCTACAGCTTGGGAGTGCTTTCAGGGACGATCCTGGTCCCAAGCAGTCAGGTGCCAGGAAATAAAAGGCCTCTTATTAACTAAAATCTTAGGTGCTGCCTGACTAGTGGATCTCTGAGAGACCCAGACTCATAACAACTTAAACTACAGAAAATCACCCACCATGAAAAATGATAAATAGTACCTTTAGAGTCTGAACTTCTGAGAGAAGGTCATATAAAACTCTCATTGGAGAACTCTCAAAGTCTTCTAGGAAGGAAGGGAAAAAGTTCAATAAGCATGAGGAGAACAGAAAAGTTAGTATAGTTTCTCAGACATAAAAATCCTGCTGGGTGTGGTGCCTTTAATCCCAGTAGCTGGAAGGCAGAAGCTGGCAGATCTCTGAGTTCCAGGATTTTCGGGGCTACACAGAAACCCTGTCTTAACAAACTAACAACAAAAACAAAATAAGTAAACAAATAACCTTCAATGAACAACAACACACAAAGTACATAAATCTCCAGACATAGCAGGCCAGGTCTTTGATTCACAACTGAGGCAAAAGCAGATGGATCTATTTGAGTTCAAGGGCAGATCCCAGGTTCTGATCAACACAGCAAGGGCTGCACAGTGAGTCCTTATCTCACCTAACAGACAAATGTCCTACAAACTATAACGACTGATACAACGGAGTAATGGAGTGACTGCTCTGCAATGTGGATGATGAACATGGGGAATGATGCTAAAGGTCTACACCCTCTAGGTTCTTTTCACAGGAAAGGTCCCGAATGGGCAACTCCACTCACAGAGAAAGACATAAGGTTGTCTAAAGCCAGCGTGGTGGTGATAGGATTGGGAGAACAACTGTTTGCTGGCATGACAGCTATTTTCTTTCTTTCTTTCCTTCCTTCCTTCCCTTCTTAAATGAATCGGTTTGTGTAACATGAACGGGGCCTGCTTGTTTGTGATTTCTGTCCCACCCGGTACCCTACAGCCGGCAAGCCCCCCAAAAAATAACACAGAGGACCCCGTAAGTTATAAAGCTGATTGGCCCATTAGGTCAGGCTACTTATTAGCTATTGTAGCTTATATTAACCCATTATTCTGATCTATGTTAGCCATGTGGCTCAGTAACTTTTTCAGTGGGGCAGGTCACAGCCTGTGGCTTCGGTGGTCTGGGCAGGAGTGGGAGGAATCATCTTCCTCCTTCCCAGAATTCTCCTGCTCTCATTGCATCATTTCTCTTCCTGTCTGGTTTTCCCGCCTATACTTCCTGCCTGGCCAATCAGCGTTTATTTAAAACAAGACTAACAGAATACAGACAATTCTCCCGCACCAGGTTTGGGTTTACTAAAGGAACACCTGTAAAGATAGGAGCAGGCAAAACCTTCGATACTGAGAGTTCCACAACTGACTATACTAAGAACCAGTGAAAAGCATTCTTAAGAGTTTTACTGTGTGTAAATTATCTGAAAGTGAATTTGGAAGTCCATTTAGTGATCCAACACTATAGTCACTTTGTTGGTTAGGGTTTCTATTGCTGCAAGGAACACCATGACCAAAAGCAGCTTGGGGAGGAAAGGGTTTATTTGGCTTACACTTCCACATCACCCCCCATCAGTGAAGGAAGTCAGGACAGGAACTCAAACAGGGTAGGAACCTGGAGGCAGGGGCTGATGCAGAGGCCATGGAGGAGTGTTGCTTACTGGCTTACTCAGCCTGCTTCTACAGAACCATGACCACCAACCCAGGATAATCCATCCGCAGTGGGCTGGGCCCTCTCACATCACAAGCACAAAGAAAAAGCCCTCTAGGCTTGCCTACAGCCCAGTCTTATGGAGGTGTTTTTCAACTGGGATTCCCTCCTCAGAGGGCTCTAGCCTGTGTCAAGCTGACAGAAAATTAGCCTGCACAGCTATAAAGAGTGAAACTGCTGGGCAACTATCTTCTGTGTATTTTTATGTAATAATTAAAAAATTTTTTACAACTTTTCATTGTAAAAAGCAAATGCAGTTTGTGCAGAGGTAATGTTTTGGTAAGACTACTGACCAGCAAACACTTTGTGAAAAGCAATTTTTATAGAGTCGAAAATATTAATGCACTTTAATCTATTATGCTGCATTCACTCAAAAACATAAACAAATAGAGCACATTTTAAGCCCCTAAAATAAGAATGGCAGAAATGCTGCTAAAACAGTAAGTTATGTCTCTTGTGAGTTAAACAGAAAACATGTATACTCTTTCTACTGTTCTCTATCTTAAAGTTCCTACGGTGCATATTGATTTTAGAGTCACAAAAACATTTCCAAACGGACAGTTTGCCAGAACTAATAGGAATCTGTGTCTACAGAGTGCAATATTATTTAAGATACATTACAATTGTGACATTTTAAGAAAACAATTTCAAAATCTGAACCACTTTTGCAACAATTTTTTTGTTTGTTTGTTTGTTTTGTAGCTTTGGAGCCTATCTTGGAACTAGCTCTTGTAGACCACGCTGGTCTCGAACTCACAAAGATCCGCCTGCCTCTGCCTCCCGAGTGCTGGTATTAAAGGCCCGAGTGCTGGTATTAAAGGCGTGCGCCACCACCGCCCGGCTTGCAACGATTTTTTTTAAAGACAGGTTCTTACTGGAGCTCCCTAAGGGGCGCAGGCTGTTCTTGGGAGGCACTTGGGAGGCAAAGGCAGAGCTACTTCCAGGACAGACTCCAAAGCTACAGAGAAACCCTGTCTCGAAAAACAAAACAAAAGAAATGGTATTGAATTTTATTTATTAAAAAAAAAACCCAAAATACAGCAGTACTGAGTATCTGTACTGAAAATACAGTATTATTGGAGAAACTGCAGATGTCAGCTTCAACTCACACACAGGAGACAGGACGCCTGGCAAGCACAGTCAGCCTGGGCGACACGGGCGAAGCACAGCTTGCCTTCGCCCACCCTGGCGGGGGCCGCCGCCCACTAACAACCGCGCCCGCCCGCGCCCTCTCACCGCTGTCCTCGCCGTCCAGCGCCCGTGTCAGCCGGGCCGTCTCGCCGTCCAGCACGGCGGCCAGACTCCGCAGCTTACAGTGGAAACTCTGGATAGGGTTCATGCCGAGGGACGCTGAGCCGACCGCCGACCTCCTCACTCACTCTCCAACGCGCCGCTTATTTGAATCCTACCGCCCGGAACGAGGCGCCCACTCCGCGCAGGCGCAGAAGACTCTCGCGAGAGCGGAGATCTCGCACCGGGACCTCAGCCGGCCCCGGAGGAAACTCGCGCGTGCGTCCTCGCTTCGGTCACTGTCCGAGAAACTGAGGTAAGAGCGTCTAAGTGAGTTCGAGGGCCAGGCGGGTTCTTTGGGAGGCCCATCGTCCCCGGCAGTGTGGTCGGCATCGGAGTTCCACTTCCGGTGAGGGGCAGAGCGTGCCTTGGCATCGTCCGGTCCCCGGTCCCCCACCTCTTGCGAGGGACAGCGCGTACTCTGGCATCGTCCCCGTAGGCGCGGGACGTGGGAGGCAGCGCGGCCCGCTCACTGCTCGCTTCCCGGCTCCGGGTCTCAGCGACCCCCGGCTTCCGTGTCTTTTCCTCAGGAGGCGCCATGTTCCTCACCGCCGCCCTCCTCCGCGGCCGCATTCCGGGCCGGCAGTGGATCGGGAAGCACCGGCGGCCACGGAACGTGTCTTTCCAGATGAAGGCGAACATGCTGCGTCGCCTGGAGGTGGAGGCCGAGAACCACTACTGGCTGAGCATGCCCTACATGACGGCGGAGCAGGAGTATGGCCACGCCGCGCAGCGCCGGGCGCAGGCGTTCGAGGCCATCAAGGCGGCCGCCACTTCCAGATTCCCCCAACATAGATACGTCGCCGACCAGCTAGGCCATCTCAACGTCACTAAGAAATGGTTCTGACCTGGAGTCATCACCTTTTTCGCTCATGGAGACGAGACTTTTGTGTATTTTTCTGGCCCCGGAGCTGAAGGAAAATGTAATTTATGTAACCTTCGACCAGAATATTATTAAAGCAAGCATGATTAATAGTTGTTTCCTGTAGGATATTTGGGACTCTCCCCAAGCACTGGCTCATGCCTGTGACCCTCACACTCAGGAGGAAGAGGGAGAGAAATCTCTGCTGGTGTGCTCAGACCCAGCCCCAGAAAGCCAAGGAAAGAGTATTTGGGGCTCCAACCTTGCTACCTGTGCGTAATTTCTGATCGATGTCAGTGTGGTTTGTTTGTTTCCTGACCCAAATTTGCGGTAGCCTTGCCTGTCTCCAGGTGCTGGAATGAAAGGCATTGGCTCCCTGCCCTAGTGTGAAATGTGGGATTTTTTTTTCGTTTATTTTGGAGGTAGGTCTCCGTGTGTATTGAACTCACGAGATCCGCTGACCTGTTAACGCTGGGATTAACGGCGCCCCTTCGCACCTTGAGCCTTTTTTTTTTTTAATGCTGTTATAAAACTAACCTGACGAGTCTATTTGTCTAGGACTTTGTTGGACAAGTTTTCTTAGTTTCTGTGTAGAACAGCACCAGTGTGTGGGTCACAACTCCCTTGTTGGGGGATGGGAGATGTTGACCAACCATTTCACAGGAGCCACCTAAGACTATCAAAAAACAGATATTTATGATTCATAACAATAGCAAAATTACATCTATAAACGTGCAGTGAAAACAATTTTATGGTGGGGGTCACCACACCATGAGGAACTGTATTAAAGGGTCACAGCATTAGGAAGGTTGTGAACCACTGGTCTAGAATAAGTGTTTACTCCCCAGCCCAGAGTAAACTGGGTATGGTGGAGCATACCTGGAACCCCAGCGTTCTGGAGGTGGAGGCAGATCAGAAGGACATGGTCATAGCCCACTGTGGAGCAAAGTTGAGGCCAGCGTGCGATACATGAGACCATTTCGTAAAAGGAATATTTTCTTCTAGGATTTGAGCACTGTGAGTGGACGTTGAAGTGAAAACGTTTAAATCAGGCGGTGGTGGTGCACGCCTTTAATCCCAGCACTCGGGAGGCAGAGGCAGGCGGATCTCTGAGTTTGAGGCCAGACTGGTCTACAGAGTGAGTTCCAGGGCAGCCAAAGCTACACAGAGAAACTCTATCTTAAAAAACAAAAACTAACAACAAAACATGTTTATTAAAACTGTTAACAGGAAAGCTTCTGGTTTTTCTTAAGCACTTCTCTTATGTTGCCCATGCTGGCCTGGAACTCCTGTCCATACTAAATGGAGACAAACTGAGTACAAGATTTTTGTTTTGTCAAAACAAGAACCCACACAACTTTTTGAACTAGGTCTTACCATGCTGCTCAGGTTATTGAACTTCTGGACTAAATTGATCCTGACTCAGTCTCCTGGGTAGCTTGCTGGGTCTACAAATGCACAGCAACTTAGGATTCTTTTTTCACTGTAGTCCCGGTGGGCCTGGAACTTGATATGAACACCAGGCTGAGTGCTGGAGCAGAGGTATGGACTACTATCCTCAGTCCTCCTTTTTAATCTTTTTTTTTTTTTCTTGAATTGGAGATTTCATAGAAAGTTACCAAAAAAGAAAGTAAGTACAAGTCTATTGTAACTACCACCCAATTTCTCTCAGTGGTAACACTTTTCTCTAACCATATCAAAACCTAGAACTTGTCCAGTAGTGGTGGTGGCAGCATGGGACTTTGATACTGGCACTCGGGAGGCAGAGGCAGGCGGATCTCTGAATTCAACCTGGTCTACAAAGAGAAACCCTGTCTTAAACAACCAGAACAAACAGAAACCAAAACCTAGAAATTGATATTAGTATGATCTGTAGAACTTATGTAGACTTCATTATTTATATGCATGCATGTTTGTGTGTGTACAGGTCTCTGCAGTTGTCTGTAACCATGGTTCCATCATGAGGGTCTTTCATGCTCCTTGTAACAACTCCCCCACAACTGTTCATCTCTATTTTTGTTCTTTGAAGAAGGGTCTATAAGTAGAATAATTTATATTGCCTTTTTTTCTTGACTGTGTAGTGTGTGCAACAGTCTTAAGGTGGCAATAGACCCTGTGTGTACTGACACTACCAAAATTGAAAGAGTAATCCAAGTCTACAGTCCAGAGATTGCTGCTTTTGACACTCTGGTTTACGTCTTTCCAGCTACCCACAGAGGCTTAGTCACTGTTCATATAGAGGGAATTATATTAGTCATTTAGAAATGCTGAGAGTCAAGTCTACACTTGCGACTGTTTTAGGCTTCTTTGCTTATAATCCACCCTCTCTCTGTAATTTGGTCATTATAGTTTTTTATAAATTTGCAGGAAAGTTTGTGATTCACGAAACAAGCAGTGAAAACTATGAATGGTTCCCCTCATTTTGCTTCCTATTTCCCTTTCCTCAACAGCACAGTGTTTTCTTGGACATGAGTCAACTACCTTTTCTTCTGAACCTAATGGACACAAAACTAGTATACTTAATATGTAATCCATACATCTACTCTTAACATGTGGTGAGCACTTCTAAACATGTAGCAAAACTAGACATTTAAACAAAGGGCCGAGAGGTAATCACTACACTCACAGGGCAGGGTAATACATGAAGCAACTGTTCTAATACACAAATTTTACAAGGAATCGTTCCACTTCCGTATAGTGGCATTTCATTTGTATTTTAATAAATAAAGCTTGCCTGAGAATCAGAAAAGTAAAACAGCCACACTGGCCAGTCTTACAGACCAGGCAGCAATGATATACACTTTTAATCCCAGTAGCCACACTAGTTTGCCATAGAAACGGGGCAGTAGTGGTGCACAACCTTAATCCCAGCCCTATAGAGGAATATAAAACAGAAAGAGACAGCTCTCAGTCCCAGTCTCATTCTGAGCTTAAGTTTTCTGGAGGCACGATCAACATTTTCAGACTGAGGTCGAGGTAAGAGTCAGTGGCTGACTGCTTTGCTTTTCTGGTCTTCAGGTTGAACCCCAATATCTGTGAGTTTTTATTAATCATGCTACACTTCCTCACTATGTTCTACCCTCCTACCTATCCTGTGAGATAAAATTCTGGCATGAATGAGTCCAAGAAGTGATGTAAACATCACATTTACAAACTCTCCATCTCTCTAGATTATTAAACTTGATAGTGCTGGTGATGAAATCTGGGGTGTCGCATGTTATGCAGGGGCTCTACCAACTGAGCCCCATAACCTGCCTGAAGAGTAGGGGATTTTGTTGGTCGTGGTGGTGGATGCCTTTGATGAGCATTCAGGAGGCATAGCAGATGACAGTTCCAGGCCAGCCTGGTCTACATAGCTTCAACCCAGCCAGGGCTACATAGTGAGACCCTCTCAAAACAACAAAAATGGGCAGCGGGTGTGGTCCACGGGATTTGTGAAGACAGCTCACACAGATTCAAGTCATATTAGCTAGCCTTTCACTACACTGGGCGTTTGTCACTTGTGTCCTCAAAACACCTGGGTTGACATATTTCCCATAACAAGAACAGTTAGCCATAAGTAGACTACAGAAGAAGAAAAAAAGGGTAGGAGACATTTAGAGACTTTCCCAGAACTCTGGACTTCGATGGATTAGGTTTTGTTTTCATTTTTGGCAGGTGTTGCTGTCTCTGTGCATGTCCATTATGCTGTGTTGGGAAATACGTTCAGGTGCGTGACTTTTGTTTACGCTGCATTTGTTTAACTCTGAAGCTGTGTTGCTGTGCCTGTCTAAAACACCTGATGGTCCTTTAAAAAAAATTCACAGCCAATAGTGAGGCAGGAGCAAGAATAGGCGGAGCTAGCAGGCAGAGAGTATAAACAGGAGGAGGAAAGCTGAGAGGAGCAAGAGAACAAGGAGAGGACATAAAGGACCAGTCACCCAGCAGCCATGGGAGTAGGAGTGAAAGCCCAGAGACAAAAGGTAGATGGGGTAATTTAAGAAAAGCTGGCTAGAAACAAAACAAGCTAAGGCTGGGTGATTATAACTAAGAATAAGTGTATTTACTTAGGAGCTGGGTAGCAGGTCCCTCAAGAAGCCAAAATAGGGGCTGGTGAGATGGCTCAGTGGTTAAGAGCACTGACTGCTCCTCCAGAGGACCCAGGTTCAATTCCCAGCACCCACACGGCAGCTTGCAGCTGTCTGTAACTCCAG